TGCTGCATTTTTTTGAGTTGCATGCTGTTTTTTTTTTGTTTTTTTTTCCTGCTGCTTCATGATGTCTGCCACTGCTGCTTCATGTTGTCTGTCACTGCTGCTTCATGTTGTCTGTCACTGCTGCTTCATGATGTCTGTCACTGCTGCTTCATGTTGTCTGTCACTGCTGCTTCATGATGTCTGCCACTGCTGCTTCATGTTGTCTGCCACTGCTGCTTCATGTTGTCTGTCACTGCTGCTTCATGATGTCTGTCACTGCTGCTTCATGATGTCTACCACTGCTGCTTCATGTTGTCTGTCACTGCTACCTCATGATGTCTGCCATTGCTACCTCATGATGTCTGCCACTGCTACCTCATGATGTCTGCCACTGCTGCTTCATGATGTCTGCTACTGCTGCTTCATGTTGTCTGCCACTGCTACCTCATGTTGTCTGCCACTGCTGCTTCATGTTGTCTGTCACTGCTGCTTCATGTTGTCTGTCACTGCTGCTTCATGATGTCTGCCACTGCTGCTTCATGTTGTCTGTCACTGCTGCTTCATGTTGTCTGTCACTGCTGCTTCATGATGTCTGCCACTGCTGCTTCATGTTGTCTGTCACTGCTGCTTCATGTTGTCTGTCACTGCTGCTTCATGATGTCTGTCACTGCTGCTTCATGTTGTCTGTCACTGCTGCTTCATGATGTCTGCCACTGCTGCTTCATGTTGTCTGCCACTGCTGCTTCATGTTGTCTGTCACTGCTGCTTCATGATGTCTGTCACTGCTGCTTCATGTTGTCTGTCACTGCTGCTTCATGATGTCTGTCACTGCTGCTTCATGATGTCTGTCACTGCTGCTTCATGTTGTCTGTCACTGCTGCTTCATGATGTCTGCCACTGCTGCTTCATATTGTCTGCCACTACTTCTTCATGTTGTCTGCCACTGCTACCTCATTATGTCTATCACTGATTTCTCCAAAGAATCGAACATTTCTGTTATTTTCAGCTCAATTTCAAGGTACTTTTCATCGTGAAACCAATTAAAATCATGTTTATTTTTGTAGTATATCTTCTATTCTATCACATGAGACCAAATAAAACGAGAATACAACCATAAAAACCATACAAAAATATACCGCTAAGGGGAGGCTAATGGCTGAGAAGTGAACTCCGTTATTTATGGTCCGATTTCTTTCACTCCAGAGAGTGGAGATTTAAGGCTTTAAGTCTATCTTCATACGAGAGATTCCTTACACGGTAAATTATTTTAGTCATTCTTCTCTGTATGTTCTCTTATGAGTCTATATCCATCCTGTAGTAAGGGGACCAAAACTGAGCAGTGTAATCTAAATGAGGCCTCACTAGTGATGTATAGAGCTGTAAAATAACTTTTGGACTTCTGTTACTTATACTTCTTGAGATAAATCCAAGTAATCTGTTGGCCTTGTTGCGCACACTAAGGCACTGCTGTCTTGGCTTTAGATTTCTGCTCACCATGACTCCCAAATCTTTTTCACATTCTGTATGATCAAGCTCTACATCACCTAGATTATAGCTTCGAGGGTTATTTTCATTACCAAGGACTAGTACATTACACTTGTCTACATTGAACTTCATCTGCCATTTTCAGACCAAGACATTAATTTGTCCAAATCCTCCTGGAGTTTATTGCTATCCTCCTCAAAATGAATTATGTGTCCTATCTTTGTATCATCAGCAAATTTACTCATGTCACTCGTAATCCCTCCAACAAGGTCATTAATGTAAATTATGAACAAGATAGGGCCTAAAACTGATCCTTGTGGAACGCCACTAGTGACTAATCCCCATTCAGATATCACCACATTAATGGTAACTTTCTGCTTTCTATGTGTAAGCCATGCCTCTATCCATGCTAGAGCTTTACCTACTCTACCATGAGCTGCCACTTTTCTTAAGAGTCTCTTGTGAGCTACTCTATCGAAGGCTTTACTAAAATCCAAATAAACAATATCATATTCTTTATCACTTTCAACTGCCTCAAATGTTCTATTGAAGAGCGTCAGTAAATTTGTCAGGCAGGAACGACCTCTCGTGAATGCATGCTGAGAATCATTTATCAAGTTATGCTCTTCAAGGTGACTTCTAATAATGTCATCTCTAATTGATTCTAATAACTTGCCCGCTATAGATGTCAGACTTATTGGACGGTAATTTGAATATAGGAACCACATTAGCCATCTTCCACAACACCGGTAAAGATGGACGAATTAAACACACTCGTTAATGGCTGACTAAGCTCCATCTTGCATTCCTTAAGTACCCTGGAAAACAGCTCATCGGGTCCTGGGGACTTATTTTTTTCAGTTTTTCTATTTGTTTAATAACCATGTCCCTCGTGACAGTAATATTAGTTAATTTAAATTCATCAGGAGCTAAATAATTGTTAATTACAGGAATCTCATTTACATCTTCCTGTGTAAAAACTGACAAAAAATAGTCATTAAATAAGGAACACATTTCCAGTTCGTTATCCGTCAGCTGTCCATTCCCAATTTTCAGAGGTTCTACCTTTCCCTTCACCTTCGTCCTATACACTTGAAAGAACCCCTTTGGATTAGGCTTTGATTCATTAGCAACTCTAATTTCATTGTCACGTTTAGCCTTTCTAATCCCTTTTTTTACTTTTCTTTTAAGCTGAACATATTGGTCAGTAAGGTTAACCTCTCCTCTTCTGATGCGCCTATATATTCCCCTTTTCTCCCCTAACAGATGGTTTAGCCTCCTGTTAATCCATTTGGGATCGTTGTTATTAGACCTAATTTCTCTCTGGGGAATGTATATACTCTGAGCACGGTGTACATTATTAAGAAAAAAATCATAAATACAGATCCCTTCATAATCATAAGTATGATCATCGTCAATAAAATCATTAGCTAGATAACCCCAATCGAGATTTGACAGGTGTTCCCTAAGTCCATTATAATCGGCAGAGCGAAAATCAAGGATTTTTACCGTATTATCATTATTCTTGTATTCTCAGTTAATGTTAAAAATGATGGATTTGTGATCACTTGCGCCAAGCTCTTCAGTGATCTCCAGATTATTTACGAGTGTTTCCTTATTTGACAAGACTATTACCCTGGTAGGCTCTGTTACACACTGTTCAGAAAACAGTCCTGAACTGGAATAGAAAGTAGTATCCAGGTAACCATTCAAAGGTAATTCTGAGGGGAAACCTAATAAAGAAACAAATATCTACACTTCTCTCTCCCAGTGTTGTAATGAGTGAGAGGGGTTCGATTTAAGCGGGACTTACACATTAGTTAAAGGGGGTTGTCGGGGATTATTGTTTGGGTAGCACTGAAGGTGAGTTGGGCAAATATTTATGTAGTGGGTTGGGATTTGATAGGGATACCCACTAAGGGCAGTAAGTTTGCTGCAGTGTTCCTTCTTTCTTATGTCCTTATGTTATTGCTTGGGTAGCACTGAAAGTGGGTTTTGGGGAAATGTTTTTGTTAGTGGGTTGGATTTGACATAGACCTGTCAAATATGGACCAATAGGCCTGTTGCAGTGTTCCTCCTTTCTTATGTTCTTATGAAACCCAATTTCAAACTCTTTGTTTAGAGGAAAAACCCTAAGATAATCTACATTTTTAAATTATAGGTCATATTAAGTGCAGAAATACTGAAGAAGAGTTTCAACTACGATTTCGCTCTCCCTGGGTGGGCATAAGTCTTCTGACTTCACTGGTAGGTACCATAATTAATGACTAGTGTAAATAATGACCATGTGTTTTTAGCAAGACATTCAAGCTTTTGATATTTACCTTTATGACCAGATTATAAAAATGAATATATCTCAGCTAATTTAAGGAGAGAGAGGGAGAGAGACAGAGAGAGAGAGAGAGAGAGAGAGAGAGAGAGAGAGAGAGCAATTGTTATAACAACAATGCAGTCTTTGAGGCTCAATCTTTTCTATAGGGTTTGAAATACCTCCCATAAAGTCTTTTCCCACAGGCAGTCACTGGCAGACTCGCAGGAAGCTACTCACTCCAGCATTCCACTTCAAGATCTTAGAAGAGTTTATGTCGGTCTTTAACAAACAAAGCAACAAGCTGATCCAAAAACTGGAGAAGAAAGCTGATGGAAATACCTTTGACATATATGATGACCTTACCCTCTGTGCTCTGGACATTATTTGTGGTAAGTTGATGATTTTGTTTTCTTAATGGACACTGTCATGACGCGAGGATACTGTGATGACGCACGTACAGATGTATTATTATACAGGTGGTAGTGGACAAAGCAAATGTACAGTGGACATAGGAGATTCAGAAAATTAGGGATATTGTTATGACACAGCATTTCAGTTGTGTCATGCTAGAATAAGTTGAATTTTATTTGACATCCATTATCCCCTTTTTATAAGCCTACATTAACTCTCCATTCCTGCGAAGAAAAGGGAAGATTCATGCCTCTCTCTACCCCCCTTCACATATATAATATCATATATATATTTTTTTCAAGTAGTACAAAAGTAAGCATACCTTTCTTGTATTAATCTTGACTTTTTCAGAATTTTGTCAACCTCAGGTTCAGTTTTATGTACACAATCACGTTATTCCCATGAAAATTAAATTTTCTCCATTTAATGATTAGAGGCAATCATAAAGTCAATGAAAAGTAGGAAATCTTTTTGCTTCCTAACTTAATGATTAGATGTTAAACTTAGAAGTGACTGAGATTATAAAACAAATCAAGTGGATATTCAGAGGTGAATGTCTTAAGTTCTACAAAGACTTATGCCCAAAAAATAAGAAAGTGAAGTAATCTAATGATTCAAGAAAGAATTAGTAGAGACTTACTAGCAATATTCATAATAAAAAAAATAATCATCGTAATATACGTATTAACACAAGTATATACTTAACAGAAATTGTTTGTCGTAGATTATCCTTGGTTAACAATCCTGCATTAACACTCATACACATTTGAATACACACACACACAAACACACACACACCACACACACACACACACCCCGCCCAACACAAAACCGCACACACAAAAACACACACACAAACACACACACACAACAAAACATACACCAACGTGTGTGGTGTGTGTGTGGTGTGTGTGTTTTGGGTGTGTGTGTATGTGTTGTGTGGTGGGCGTGTGCTGACAATCTGCAAGCAGCAGAGGAGGGGTTTTTCCCCCAAAAGCAACAGACAAACGAGGAGGCCAACGACCCCTTGGTTCCCCCGGGAGGTTAGAGGGCCAAAACCAAATGAATAGGAAAAAGAAGTAAAAAGAGGCTAGGCCCCAGGAGAATAAGGAGGTAGTCGAAAACCCAAAAAAAATGTATGCACCGGTAAGACTAGCCAGCGACAATCAAAAAAGACATAGCGGCTAAAGCCAAGTCTAACCCAAAGCTGTTGTACACCCACATAAGGGAAAAAAAAACAGAAAAAGCCCTGGTAATCGGGCAAAGAAGGAAGAAGAAGGCTAAAGAAATGACCGAGAATATGTGAGGAGCTCAAAAAGAGTTTTAAGGGAAGTTTTTCAAGGGAGCAGAAAGACCCCGGGAACAGGGAGTGGTAGGGGCTCCACTGTGCTGGCAAAATAACACAACGAAGAGGAGGTAAGAAGTAGCAAAGCGAACTAGATACCCAAAGGCGATGGGGCCAGATAACGTCTCTTGGGTCCTGAGGGGGGGGGCGGGGGCTCCTGTGTACCATGACAACAATCTTGACAACTATCAAAACAGGGCGACTGCCTGGGTAGGGAAAATAGCAATGTACCCCAAATTTTTTAAAAAAGGAAAGACAGACAGCAGCATTAAATAAGGCCAGAACGACATGCATGTATGTAAAGTCATGGAAAGATTATCAGGAAAGAGTGGTGGTTTCCCGAATTCAACCCAGAATTCAGGGGAAAGAAATCCATGTCACAAACCCCTGAAATCATGACAAGTGACATCATAAGACAAAAGGGAGAGGGGTGGTTGATTGCATTTTCTTGGACTGTTTAAAAAGGGTTTTGACACAGTTTCCTCTAAAAAAAAATTTGTGCAAAAACTGAAAGCCAGGAAAGGGATAAGAGGAAAGGATAAAAAGGATGGGAAAACTGAAGGAAGGGAACAGGGAGTCACTACGGACGAGGTGTCGGAGTGGGCGCCCGTGACGACGGGGTTCCCCAGGGGTCAGTTTTTGGGCCGGTACCGTTTTGGTTTTTTGTGAACGCATGACGGGGAAAGGGAAAAGACTCAGAAGTGTCTCTGTTTCAGACGAGTAAAGTGAAAGGGAGAATTTGTCGTTGGAGGGCCAGGGAGGACTACAAAGGGACCCCTTTACAGTACAACCTGGTCTAACAAATGACTCCTGAGTTCAAAAACCCCCTAAGTGCAATCATGAAAATGGGGAAATCAAAGAAGACCGCAGAAATAAAATGCCTAGGTGCCCCCAAAAACTACAAACCTTTATCAAAGGGAAAAAGATTTGGGGTGAATAAACCGAAATATCTCCTGAGGCGCCATCAAAAATAAATGCTGAAGCATATGGGGGGATATGGACCTAAGATAGTTTTTTTAATCCAGTAAGGAATCGTTCAAACTCTGCAGACCGTGTTGTCAGACCCCTATTAGAGTATGCAGATCGTTTGGAAACCCCCACCTCTGCAAGCACGCCGGGGAAAAAAGAGAAGGTTCAAAGGTTTGCAAAGAGACTTATCCCGAGTAAGGGGGATGCCTACGAGAAATAAGAAAGGGGAAAAAAAAAAAAAAAAAAAGAGGAAGACAAGGGGACAAGGGTAAATTTTCCGAGAGGGAACAGCGAAAAGAGGCCAAAAAAAGGGAAATTGAAGACTCAGAAGAGCCACAGAAATGTTAGGAAGTATTTATTCAGTCACAGAGTTGTCAGGCAATGGAATAGTCTGGAAAGTGAGGTGGTGGAGGCAGGATCCATACATAGCTTTAAGAAGAGGTATGATAAAGCTCACAGAGCAGGGAGTGAGTGACCCAGTAGCGACTAATAAAGTGGCGGGGCCAGGAGGTTTGAATCGACCCCTACAACCACAATTAGGTGAGTACATAAACATCCCCAAAAATCTGTACATGCCTCACTCCACCTCTCTCTCTGCCCCTTTACTGAGTTAACTACAAAACTTATCTTTCCGTGCCTGAGTGTCCCGACCTTCTTCACTGACAACCTCACTAACGAGTCAACCGTAAAATTCCTGTCAGCACAAAATTCTGTCCCCAGCTCAGTTACCTGTCTCCTTCAGTGTCTCCTGCACCAGGTTGTCTCTCCACCCTCCCCACCTCCACACCCCTCAATTCTTTTACAAGATATACCCATGGAAAAAATACCTAGTAAGTGTTTTCTGCAGTCAGCTTTTGGACAGTACAAGTCCCACGACGAGGATTTTTAGTTTAAAATGTATTATAGATAAGTTTCATGGTAAACAAAGTTACTCCAACCTTGGGAGAATTTTAGTTTAAAACTTATCACAAATAAGTTTCTTGAAAAACAAAATACTTTCTCCCCTTGATGGAACACAATATGCGTCTACATCACAACTGTATTTTCCAGTCTACAAAAATGGAATGAAAAAATAGGCTTACCTGGAGTTTACCTGGAGAGAGTTCCGGGGGTCAACGCCCCCGCTGCCCGGTCTGTGACCAGGCTTACAGCTTTTTAAATATTCTTTATTCAATTAATCATCACAGGCCTCTGAAGTCAAAGTTTACACCTTTACTGGTAAGACCCAGACATCTTGTGAGGTGGGTTGGGTTGTGAAGGACCTGCCCAGTATGGGTCAACAGGTCTTCTGCAGTATTCCTCCTTTCTTATGTTTCTTAAGTTTGTATAAATAATTTAGAAAACTGAGTTAATAACTGAGACACTTGGGGAACATTTGGGATTTTTTATTCTTGAAACGTTTCACCAGCCAGCGGATTCTTCATTCCAAAACAGAAAAGAAGGGTGGATGATGAGAAAGAGTTTGAGGTAATCAATCCCTTTGCCTTAAGTCGATGTCTTCAGTCCATCAGTCTTGATGAAAGTACTGCACATAAACTGCAGACAGATGAGGTGAAGCTGTGGGAGGCGGAGTCATCAGTGGAAATCCCACTAGTGGAAGTAGGTCATACCATGAGGTCAGATAAGCTTTGAAAAATTCCCTGCATCTAGATCCCAAGATGTTAATGTGTCTGTCAGAATAGTTCATTGGTATCCCTTTGAGTCCTCAGATAACTATCACATGAAGACATGTATGCTGCTACCACACTGATTCTAGTAATCTCTTTCGGACATTCTTCGATGCGCAGATCAATTGATATTTACCTAATCTGCAAATGTTTTTACCTGCTAAAAGAAAAAATTCTTTGTGGTATAAAAGTCAAACTTATATTAAGACAAACTTTAAGAATACGAACTTTACCGGTGACATTTAAAGGGAATTCACTAGTTTGCACAATACATAAAGATCTTCACACCTCTTATTAAGAGAGACACTAAGACTAATATTCCGCCACTAATGATACTTCTTTACCCCGAAAATACTGATTCAAACATATCACTCATTCTCACCCATTTACAGGTTTCAGTGCACCAGGCCTATCACCTATTATCACCCATTAGAGACCTTATTGCATACTCAATCATACACAAATGACTCGCACATAAAAGAGAGAAGCTTACGACGACGTTTCGGTCCGACTTGGACCATTTACAAAGTCACACTAACCAGAAGAGGAGCAGGACGGCTATATATAGGCAGGAAGAGGTGTTGGTAGTAGTAGTAGTAGTACAAGAATGGTATATAATACCTTGTATGAATCTTAGCCCTGGCTTCGTCTCTGTAGATGCCTTCCTCTCCCACTACATTGTAAAATGCTCCAAACTTCAGAACACCCGTGACTTAACCTGACTCCTCATTTTTTTTCTTTTTCTTTTTCTTCTTCTCCCTCTTCCCCTTTCCTTTTTTCTTTTTCTCCTCTGGGTTGCCTTTCTCTCTTCTGTCTCGTGTTTCTGTTCCTTCTTCATTTATTTCACCACTTCCCCTTTCTCGCACCTCTGTGCGCTTGCTCTCCCTTTGTGGGCACCTAGCTCTCTTGCAGTGCTCCCCTTCCTTTGTATTTGACTGGCTCGTCCTCCTTATTCCCCATTTCTACCTCTACCACTACTACTACCTCTTCTACTACT